GGCGCCTGGGTGGCTCAGTTGGTTAAGTGACTGCCTTCGGCTCAGGTCATGATCCTGGAGTCCCGGGATCGAGTCCCACGTCGGGCTCCCTGCTCAGCAGGGAGTCTGCTTCTCTCTCTGACCCTCCCCCCTCTCATGCTCTCTATCTCATTCTCTCTCTCAAATAAATAAATCTTTAAAAAAAAATTTAAAAAAAAATAGCTTTGGAGGCAATTTTAAACATAGGCTGGAGAGGGATAAGACTGGAGACAAAGAAATTAAGGAAAAAATTGAAAAAGAAACATAGGACATACTGGTAAAAGACTGTCCTTTCTTAATAAATGTCCTTCTAATTGGCTAATTTGATTAGATGTTTATATGTATTTTACAAGGCTGACCTCTTTAGTCTCTTAGGATTCCCTAAGGAAGGATATTCAGTTACCTCGTTGAGGAAGCCTTCCCTGACCCCAACCCCCACCAAGTTGGTGCCTTCATGTACATCTGGAGGTCATTGAGGGCAGTGACTACGTCTTATTCATCTTAGTATCTCCAATGCCTAGGACATGCCTGCTCAATAAATGTTTGCTGAATGAATGAACACATAAATTGATCTATTAGTATACTGTACTCAAGCTCCGACCAAGACACAGAGGACCTAATGATCCCTAGTGTGCAGGTTTCTGGATACAGGAAACAGAACAAATAAAACAAGACTAGATACGGAGGTACACCTATTCCACAGGTAACACAGGGTAAATTTCTCTCTCTGACCCCTCCATCCTCATTCTGAAGAATAACTCTCATTGAGTGAAAATCAATAAAAGTCATTTTAAGGGAAGTAGGTTTAGAAAAAGGCTCTGAAGGAGGAGAAAGGAGGAGGGGAACTTCAAGTTCAACCAATTTGGGCTTTTCTTTTTTTTATGAGAACTTGTAAGCTGCAAAAAACCTTTACAGAATAAAAAGTCTGTTTTCTACAGTCCCTTTCAAAGGAACACCCCCCCCATATACACATACAAACCAATAGTCTTTTTGAGATTCCCAGTTTTGTAACTAAAAAAGAAAAATAAAATCCACAGCAGAAATAATAATAAATCCTCCATTTCTCAGATTGACATCAACAAGAAACTTTCTGAAGTAGTTGTGGACAGTTCTCAGAGACATTCAACCAATATCCATTGTGAGATTGACCTAGCAAACTCTAGCAACAAATACTGACTGCAAACTATGGACAATGCATTAGGAAGAAGTTTTAAAAGATATTTAAAAAGAAAGGGAGGAAGGGAGAAAGGAAGAAGAGAAAAGAAAAGAAAGAAAAAGGAAAACAGAAGGACATGAGATGCACTTTCTATCCCCTAAGAAGCTTGTGGAATTGTGGTGTTAAGTCATAGTCATAAGAAAATCCTATGAAAAGTTCAAAAGAAAAGTTAATATTCTCAATTACAACGCAGAAAAAATTCATCAAATGAGTGACACAGACAAACTGTTGTAGGATTTCAAAGGACGGGGAGACCATCAGGGTTTGAGGTATCCTCAAGTGTTTAGGGAGAAAGTAGGATTTAGATAGGGCATTAATGGAGATAGAATTTGAATCTTGAAGAGTGGGAAATATCACAAGAATAGAGCCTATGGCATGTCAGGGAACATTTTACTCATGACTGCACCATGAAGAGCGTCTACAATGGTAAGAGTTAAAATCTGAGATGGATCCATAGCACCGTAGTTAAGAACAACTGAAGGCAGATCTGGGTTTGAATCCTGTTTCTACCACTGAATGGTTGAGTGGTTTTGTCACATTTATCCTCTCTGAAGCTCAGTTTCCACCATCTTAAAATGGGGACGGTATCAATTATACCTACCTCATAAAGTCGACATGAAGATAAAATGAAAGTTACTCTCCATAGTTCTTGGCAAAGAAGTGCTCAGTACGTGATAGTTCCATGCTTTCCCCCCAGAGTCGGAGTTTGTGGTCTGGAACTTCTAGGGATTGAAAAAAAATTTTTTTAATTAAAAATATAGAACAAAACAGACCTGTATAGAACAGATGGTCAGCCTTTTTGCTTTCATTTCATCCGATAGAGCAGCGTTTTCCCTGCCGATTTCCATCTGGAGCATGACTTTAGCGTACTTACTGTTTGATTTTGAAACATCCTTTTCCGAAAAGCATTCTTCCGAAAGGCACTCGTCCTAAAAATACTCTGAATCCTGCTCACCTCCACTATCATCTCCATGCTTTTCTAGGCAACAGAATGCTTCTGGAGGAAAATAGAAACCGTGTGGATTTCAGATTTGTGTTACTTGGATTTATTCATTCATTGACTTAATAAATATTTATTGAGTACCTATTTTTGAAAGATGAAAAGCCATCAAGGGGAAGCTACTTCACTTCCCACCTCCAACTTGCACCTGTAATTCCCTTCCCTTGTTCACTCCTGTTGCAGGGAGAGAAGAAGAGCCCCTCCTCCTTTTAAAAGCTGGACGCTCCAACCGTGCTTTGGAGCCCTGGCCTTCGTTGGAGGCCTTTGCACTAGTATTGTCTCTTTCCTACTTCCAACCTCTTCCTCTTTAATGGTTTCTTTATAGTCAATATTTAAACATACTCAAGTATCCCTCACTAAAAGAAAAAAAAGATAAATCCTCCTTAGTCTTTCATCCACATTGTTCTCCAGATTTTATGCTCTCCCTTCCCTCCTTCCCAAAGTTGTGCTAAGTATTGCCCACAGACACTCCGCCTTGATTTTATTAACCACCCCTTACTCCTCAACCCCATCAATCTGGAATTTGTGCCTGCCATTCCTCCAAAACTGCCTCAGTAAGATCATCAATTTTTATTTCTCCTTTTACTTGGCCATTCCCTGTTTGAAATGCTTTCTTCCTTTAAATTCTGTGACATCACACATTTCTGATTTTCTTCTCTCTTCTCTAGATGTTCCTTTTTGACCATCTTTGACAGATCTCCCTTTGTGCGACCATTAAATGTTTTTCACGTTCTGTTGTAATGCATACATCTCTTCCTACTTTGGCTTTTTCCTAAGGTAAATGCATTCACTCCCATGACTTTGTTACAATTGGCATAACTACAAGTCTCAGATCTATAGCTTCAGACCCATATATCCAATTGCCTCCATAAGCTCTCTACCTGAATTTTCCACTGGCCTCTCAAACTCCCAGCATATCTAAACCTAGACTTATCATTTTCATTCCCAAACCTGGTCCTCCTCTGTTGCTTCTCAGCTCAGTACGTGCTAGTATCAGCTGTTTGAGAGTCATCTTCGACCATTCCTTCTTCACCATTCATTACAAATCAATTACTAATCTTGTCATTATACTTTCTAGATATTCTGAAAACCATCTTTCTCTCCATTTTTACCACCATCATCTCTTATCTAAGCTACTGCAACAGCCTTCTTTTTAAAAGGGCAAATCTGTTTATATCACTGTTAATGCTTATATTATGGCTGTCCATTGACCTTGGGATAAAGTCCAAAATTCTTAGTATGGTCTACAAGGTCTTATATGTTCTGACCCCGTCTGCACTTGCACCTTTATTCTATGTCCCTTTCCCCACTTCTCTCTCCTCTGCAGGCATGTTGGTCTCCCATCAGTGCTTCAATGCATCATCCTCTCTCCTCTTTCACACCTATCTCTCCTCCCCTCTCCTAGCAATCTCTACCCTTCACCTAACTACTCCTATTCGTCTTTTTAGGTTTCAGCTTAACTGAAAGCAGAGTTGATTAGTTCTCCTTCTTTACATTCACATTATGCCCCATTCTTATCCTTCCTAACACTTCTCACTTTTATATTGTCTACCTTCACTAATAGTCTATAAGCTCCAGAGGCCATACCTGCCATGCTTAGCAATGTATTCTTAGTGCATAGCACAGTGTCTAGCAAATTTTGGTAATAAAATATATATTAATTCTTTCATATAGTAAGTGACAGATCAGTTTCACCTTTATTTCTGCAAAGTCTTCCTTGACTCATTCAAGCAGAATTGATAACTTCCACGTTAACATCACGACTATACCAAAGATACTATCTGTATCTTAGTTCTCTTTGTATCTCTAGCACTTCACTTGGTGTCTGGAACAAAGTGAATGCTCAATATATGCTTATAGTATTGAACTAACGGACTTTGCCAACTGGCTGGATATGAGATCTGAAGGAACACAGAAAGTCAAAGATAAACTCTGAAGTGTGGGCTAGCCTTTACCAGAAATGGAAAACTTGGTAAAGGAGGGTAGTTTAGAAAGTAAATATATGCAGTTCTGAGCATAGGTATTGATAGTCATAGTGACAGAGGAGAGAATTTATACAGAAGGTCAGTAAAGCAATGGAGTCCTGAAATGGCAACATGAAGATAATTCCCAGGTAGGAAGCAGTCTGCTATAGCCAGGAGAGGGCTAATGGATGGGATACATTCTAATTTGCCTAGGACAATCCCAGTTATCCTAGCATAATAATGATGGTGCTGCCCCCTTGTATGCTTAAAAGTATCCAAATAAATTAGGGGTGCCCAGCTGGCTCAGTTGGTAGAGCATGCAACTCTTGATCTCAGGGTCTTGAGTTCAAGCCCCACGTTGGGCATAGAACTTACTTAAAAAAAAAAAAAGTGTCCAAATAAATTACATGACCAGTCAACCAGAAGATCACATGAATTTGGAAAAGTTAAGTGAGTTAAGGGCAAGAACATTTAGGACAAGAGCATAGCAAGAAATTAGAGTGATTTCAACTTGCAGCCAGTGAAGGAATGTACTGAACTGAATGACATTTTATAAAGAGCTATGAAATGAACCAGCTAGCCACTTCTGGATGAGCAATGTCACAAAAACCCTGATAGGTAGACATTTTCATCCATATTTTATAGATAAAAAATATTTTATAGATAAAAATAATCAAAGCTTAGATTAAATAACCCGCTCAGAAAGTTAGTGCTTAAAAAGTAAAACATAGTGCCTTTTTCTCGCTCCCAGCCATCTTGGCGGCTGCTCCTGGCTGGCCTTGCCCACACCTAAGGCAGGAAGATGGTGGCTGCAAAGGAGATGAAAAAGCCACTGGAGTCTATCTACTCTGGGCTCCAAGTCATCATGAAAAGTGGAATGTATGTGCTGGGGTACAAGCAGACTCTGAAAATGATCAGACATGGCAAAGTGAAACAGATCATCCTTGTCAACAACTCTCCAGCCTTGAGGAAATCAGAAATAGATTATTATGCCATGTTGGCCAAAACTGGTGTCCATCAGTACAGTGGCAATACTATTGAATTGGGTTTAGAATGTGGAAAATACTGTGGAGTATGCTCATTGGCTATCATTGATCCAGGTGATCCTGATATCATTAGAAGCATGCCAGGACTGACTGGTGAAAAGCAAAACATGCAAAATTCTTCTTTAATGAAACTGGCCAGAGCTTGTTTAAAATAAAAAAAAAAAAAGTAAAACATAGCTAGAAAGCAAAACTAACTAAATATAAACAAGTAATTGAAAAAAGAAGTCAAAGGGGGAAATATCTGGAAGTCACGAGAAGTCCCTTCTCTGATAACTTGTAAGCATCTTGAGTGGGAAGGGAGAAATAAAGCATCGATATGATGACTTCCCCATAAGGGAGGGCAACCGCTACTACCAAGATCCTTCACTATAACTTGCAAAATTAGTGCTCACTGATTTCTGGAATCATGAGCTTCGTTGAAAGCCACCCTTCTTTTCCCAAGAGAGAAGTAATTCTAGGAAGTAACTTTAGTGAAATGGAAGATAAGACACTTCTACCCTGGGACACACCTGACTTTAAAACCAGCTCGAAGGTAGAGAAAAATCAAATATTCAGGGGCAAAAGGAAGTTAATCTTGGCTAAAATGAATGTCAGAGAAGATATTGCAATGAAAGCCAAAGCAAGAAAGGGATAACCTAAGGAGAGCCTGGATATAAATATGTAGGACCGAAAATTACTCCGAAAGTCAAATCGAAGCGAAGCAGTGGAGGGACACCACAGAGGCATGGGCAGCGAAGGTAAGACAAAGGAATACAAACATTTCATGAGGATGACTTAAAGGTTCTAAGTTGGAAAACGAGTTGACAATTGTGATGATTCCTTCAGAGTGAGTGAAAATTGCATTTTAGCAGTAAATATCCTTCAATCTTTCCCAAGAGCTAAATAAGGTGCTCTTTTTTTTTTAAATATGTTTTTTTTTTAAAGATTTTTATTTTTATTTATTTGAGACAGAGAGAATGAGAGGGAGGAGGGTCAGAGGGAGAAGCAGACTCCCTGCTGAGCAGGGAGCCTGATGCGGGACTCGATCCCGGGACTCCAGGATCATGACCTGAGCCGAAGGCAGTCGCTTAACCAACTGAGCCACCCAGGCGCCCCATAAGGTGCTCTTTACTATGTAATAATAGGAGTTTCACTTTTTACTGCCTCCCTCATTGAACAGTGCCTACTAAGCAATTATACTTCAGCTATGCTGCCCCTTTTCCCTTTCGCCTTTTCCCCTTCTTCTAAAGACTAGAAAGAGATGAATGCAACAGCACACAAGCAGTGAGAATTTCACTTGAAGACAATCAGTTTTAAGAAGCACTTTGCAGGGGCGCCTGGGTGGCTCATTCGTTAAGCATCTGCTTCGGCTCAGGTCATGATCCCAGGGTCCTGGGATCGAGCCCCGCATCGGGCTCTCTGCTCTGCGGGAAGCCTGCTTCTCCCTCTCCCATTCCCCCTGCTTGTGTTCCTTCTCTCGCTATGTCTCTCTCTGTCAAATAAATAAAAAATCTTAAAAAAAAAAAAAAAAGAATTCTAATATGGGGGCCTGCATGGCTCAGTCGGTTGAGCGGCTGCCTTCGGCTCAGGTCATGATCCCAGGGTCCTGGGATCGAGCCCCGCGTCAGGCTCCCTGCTCAGCGGGAAGCCTGCTTCTCCCTCTCCTACTCCCCCTGCTTGTGTTCCCTCTCTCGCTGTGTCTCTCTGTCGAAATAAATAAATAAAATCTTAAAAAAAAAAAAAAAAGAAGCACTTTGCACAAATGCGCTGCATTTAAGAATGCTTTTGGTATATCTATCTTTCCATGGGACAACCCAGCCCAGTGTAAAGAACAAGTACCATAAACCAAGAAACCAAGACTGACTAGTTGTGGAACTTAGGTAAATCATATACTTTCTCTGTTTTCCACTTTTTAATTTATTTAAGTAATCTCTAGGCCCAATGTGCAGCTGGAATTTATGACCCCAAGATCAAGAGTTGCATGCTCTCTGGACTGAGCCAGCTAGGCACCCCTCTGTTATTCTAATAGTCATTTTTTTTCTATATATATTGCATGGTTGGTTGTTGTTGTTGTTTTGGTGACAAATTCTACACAAAAGTAAGGTAGGTATTGTTAAGGAATGCCTTGTAAATATTAAATCCGTTTTTATTTTTTATTTTTTTAAAAGATTTTATTTATCTATTTGACAGAGAGAGACACAGCAAGAGAGGGAACACAAACAGGGGGAGTGGGAGAGGGAGAAGCAGGCTTCTTGCGGAGCAGGGAGTCCGAAGTAGGGCTCGATCCCAGGACTCTGGGATCATGACCTGAGCCAAAGGCAGATGCTTAATGACTGAGCCACCCAGGCACCCCTCCGTTTTTAAATCATTATAAAGGCAGATAAATTATTACACTTTCTTTATTCCTTTCCTCTATTTTTGTAACAACCTAACATTTTATTGAATAAAGACTCATGAAACTTAAGAGTTTGAATAAATGCTGGAGGTCAAGTTAAAATTGGTATATAAGAAATAATTCTACTTCTATGGCCTCTTCTTAATTTACATATTAGTCAATCAATAAACAAACATTTGTTCAGTGCTTCCTGTGTGTCAGGCGTTACATTGGGCTGTGGGAGGGGAGGGATACAAAGTACTCTATTTCATCAAATCAAAAACAGTTTGGATTATAAGAAGCATCTCAATTTTCTGAGCTGTTAAAATGTGGAAAAATATGCATCTAAGAAGTGATTATATGTGGGTAAAAAACAAAGAGCTTCCACGGTGAAAAAACAGAATATATCCATATTCTACCCATATCCAAGTGAGTGCTAGAAACAAAAAGCATCTCCAGAAGTTTAGTGCAGCAAGAAGTCTCAAGGAACTGAAGGTGGTGAGGGAGGCGCACTGTGTATGACACTGGCCTAGTTCTGCTAATGTATTTTCTATCGATTCTATAAAGGCATTGGCAAGAAAAGAACAAATTAAAAACTAAGATTTATACTTTCCCTCCTGAAATGTGACAACTTTAAGTTTTGTTAAGACTTCTGAATCCTATAGTTATACCAACCCAAAACCATGATTTCTCTTGCGTTGGAAAATTTAACTTAACCAACAATTCTGTAAATTATGAATTAAGCAAATACATACTTTGGTAACATAAGAAGGAAACTTAGGGGAAATGGCCCAAATCATTTAAAATTTGAGCCTGTAATAATGGATGCAAATACTTTGAGATAATAGTTTCGGCATCATTTCTATGCTGGGAGAGTGAAAATCAAAATTGTTCTCCAGTGGAAGTTCTAAACTATGTCTGCATCTGTAGCTCTAGGCTAGGTTCCCAGGCCACTACTAAGTCTCTGTTTCCCCACCCCCTACCCTGAGCTATAAGTACCAAGACCTCCAACCTCTGATTAAAGAGAACACCAGTTGATGCTACACCTAAGAATTTAATCTTAGGACCACTGTTCATTCCCCCCCCTCAAATAATTTTGAACTTCAAGCTTCTTAGCTCCCACTACTGTCCTCTGCTGCATCTACTGTGACTAATCACACTTCTGCATGAAAACAAATACTTGTAGGACCTTCCAGACCACAGCTGACTTTTGTTAAGCCTTTGTGTCCACTGTTCTCCAGGAGTCAGCTGTGACTAAATCTGCCAAGCTTCATTCTGGTTTTCATAGGTCAAAGCCCCAAATAGAATTACCTGCTCTATTCCCAAATTTGTCCTCTGTGGAACTGTCATTCCTAAAATGCTCTACACTTCCTTAAGCCTAGTGTAATCCCTCTCCTCTCTCCCTACACAAACCCTCCATTTGCCCTCTGGAATTCCAATTCCTCTACACACTCAATCATTTCCCTGAATGCTCCTTCCACTTCGGTGCTTATTAAAACCTAGCCTTCTCTAGGCCACTTCCCGGGCTGCTCCCTCCAGTGAGGTCTGCTCATATTTTTCACACCTCTTTAGTGTCAGGAGACCAGAATACTCCCTGGTGCTAGTCAGAGTCCACTGCTTCCCCACCCTTTTGTAAAAACCCCTGCCATTCTCTCTGATTGGTCATTGTAATCCACCTGCCTTCTTCTTTTTTTTTTTAATCCACCTGCCTTCTTTGTACTCATCGTTCACAGAAGATACTGGCACTTGGTTGCTGTGTTCTCTTGTCCTGCAAGTCCTGCCATCATCCTAAGTGAGTTCAGAAAGACCCACCTAATCTCCGATGTCCTCCTCCAGTGCTACTTGGCCATCTATCCCCTCCTCCCCCCCGTCACTCCCTGGACCTTGTCATCATCACCTAAAACTCCTCTACTTTCTTTACTTCTAAAATCACTAATTCTTTTCCCCTCTCCCCTAAAATCACTAATTCTAATAGTCCACTTTCTTACCACAATTACCTATACTTCCAGCTCACTTATTACACCAGCCTGACTGCAAATGCCCTCCCCTTTGTTTGAAAAGATTATGGAGCACTTCGCTTCCTTTCTATTACCTCCTTCCTGTCTTTACTTCTCTATTTATCTGGCTTAGCGTTCATGGTCCATCATTTCACTCGCTCTTAGAATTACCCTGAACTCTCTCCTTGAATGCACTCATTCCTTGTCTTCTAAGACACCACACTCTCCTGGTTTCTCTTACTTGTCTGGCAGGCTTTCAGAGACATTTTTACTGCCTTCTCCCTCCTCTATTACTAAACGTTTACATGTCAGAGTGTTTCAGGGATCTATCCTAGGAGCTTTTCTCTTTTCATTCAATTCCTTTTCCTTAAGTAATCACAGCTCTTCCTATGGGTTTAATTACTGTCAGTATGCATATGCTCCTCAAATTCACACTCGAATTCAGAATTGTTGTTTGAGCTCCAGATTGATATACTTGCTTACCTGACATCTTCAAATGCATATCTCCAAGGGATCTCCAACACAGTGTGTTCAAAAGTAAACTCATCGCTTTCCCATTAAAGCTATTGCTTCTAGAAACCTGAGGCACTTTTGACATCTCCCTCTCTCACATCTCCTCATATTTAAATAATCTCCCCATATTTAAATAAGATCTGTTAATTCTATCTCCAAACTATTTCTCAAAATTTGTCCACTTTTTCCATCTCTACTGCCACCTCTCTTGTCCAGGTCATTATCATTTTCATTCAATAGGTGTTTACTCAATATCTACCGTGCGCCATGTCCTGTAAGTGCTAGAATATAC